ATTAGCACACTCCGCTCTATAGTACTACTTACTCGTAGTATAAATACATTATTATTATTATTTTTTTTTTTACACTGCAGACGGTGGCGCGGCAGCTATGCGCTTAAATTGCCTCTTAAAAGACGCCGCGTCTTTGATGATGATTATCTAAAATTACATTTTGTTATCTGAAACTCGGTGTGCTGCGTCCTCTATAATATAAGGTAACAGTTTATAGTGCTGCGAAAATCGAAGACGCGGAGAGACGAGGTGGCAAGGGGCAGAGATGAGAGAGGAAGGAAAGCGAAAAAGACGCGAAAAGAATACGAACCGTAAGTTGCATATACCTGTTTTTTAGAGAGACCAAAACAAATTTCGCGAACCCTTTAGACTCTGACTAATCTAACTTACAAATTCGATACCGTACACCTTATATTATTTGCACCACTCGTTGTCGTCGCCGTCGTCGTTTTCGCGTTTTACACTCAACGAGTAATACGATAGCAAGCGAGTATAGGTATAGCTGTTGTCTTGGCGTGCGCCGATTTTTATACGGGTACCGAGGACCGAACTTAGAGTCGTATTTATTTCTAAAGGAAAAAACCTCGACCATTTTCCTTTTTTTTTTTTTTCAAACAATATAAATAATAATAATAATAATAATTCATGCGGCTCTTATTATTCGTGCAGTAAAAAAGACAGTTATATATATATTATAAACTCGTTTTTATATTTCATTTGTTTCGAACACGCTCGCGCGCGCATATAACGTCAGCACGTCGTCGTATTAATAATAATTATTGCAGCAGTCGTAATAATAACGTTAACAAACTGCTTCCGTACTTGCATTCCGTACTTACGAGAAAACATTATGATGTTGCTGCGGTCGTACAACCTTTCACATTGAAATTATACGAAACTAGAATGGTTTTTTTATTTTATTTTTTTTTTTTTGTAACAAATTGATTTTTTTATTATGCGTGAGTTTTGTCACTGTCAACGATAGAATATTCTCTAAAAATAATAATAGAATATTACTAGGTATTGTTGTTATTAGAAAGATTGTCAGCGCGACCGTTTTTGCATACGTACGAATTTCGTCTGAAAAAATGACTTTTTATCAATATATAGTTCAGTATGAAACACCTTATTATGAAAATTAAAGAACACGACCTTGAATATAATACAGAAAATGGTTCTTTCATTATTATTAAACTATTATTTAATCTTGAACATCGATTACCGTCTTATCCCGAGTAAATTGAAAATCAATATATTTTCGTACCCTAAATACCGCGTTGTTGTCTTTTATTTAATTCCATGACGAGTAAAAATCCTATAATCATTTTGGAAAATATCTATTTTTTTTTTACAGTTTTATGTTCACGTGTTTTTAAATTAATTTCACGATAAAACTATTAATGTAAACACCTGGGACCGATTTTGAATTTATACCAAAGTGAATTTGAATATTTTTGATTCGATAAATTGTCATGTTTTCATAAAATTTCGTTGAAATTGCTTAAGCACAAACACTTAAATGTCGGTAATGTGACCTTCTTTATGACAGCCATTTGGAAACAACGTTTTGTCAGACTTTAGTATTACACGCTTTATTGTTTCGACTGCATTGTAATATGATCTCCATCAGCAATTTAAAGTTGCCTTTGAGGTAGAATGGCTTATTAAAAACGTCCGAGCTAACAATATAATTCCTTTTTTTTTCATTTCACCATTTAATTTGTGATATAATTGAAATAAACTGCAGCTGATATTTAACCCGCAGACTGCAGCAATAACTTAAAGCGCATCTATTATAAAGTTTAAAAATATCCAATATATACCGAATATTTTTTCCTTTTATATAAAATTCAAAAGTCGCATAACTTTTACCACACACTTGCCCCCTTCATTTTTTCTTTGGAAATTACTAAAGCATTAATTTAAAAAAAATATAACTACACTGTACTTTACGTTGGAAGTTTTTGTTTCAATTAAAATATTTTTCTTTTACACACATAATAAAATAAATAAGTAAGTATTTTTTTTCTCGGAGAACTCATTTTTTTAGGGTCAAAAGTTTTGATTCGCATCATTTCTTTTAAGACGGGTAATTGATGTCAAATTTTCAGTTTGTTGGCTGGCCAATTGAAATGTTACAAATTTAATTTATTTTAATTTCCGATATGAAATATTTCATATACGTATTTACAATGTAATTATAATCGTGATCGTTGGAAATAGTTTTAATTATATTTCAGAACTGCAAAAAAATAAGAGAAAACATTTTTGAATTAAGATTATATCACGTATATTTGATTAAACAAATGAATTACCATTCAAGTTTTGTAAATTAATCTAACGTAGAGAGTTATACATAAGTTTTAAAGTTTGTTGTCAACAGTCAGCATTTCTGTGTAACTAGCTGTCCATATCTATGGTTATAGCCTAATAAACCAATTTTTAACAAAATGTAATATATATTTTTGATGGTCATCGGGGTTGGTGGAAGGCGGGGTTTCTACCTCGAGGTAGAATTGATTACACCACTGTTTCAAGCGATTCGTAAAAATGACATGTTAACGCAATATATTATCTAATATTTTTTGGTAATTATTTTTAAATATACTAATAAATAATTCTGTTATTACGTTTTAGTGTGGTGTTAATTTTATCCAAAAAATTTGTATCTTACAGTTTTATTCAGTTTTATTTAGTTTTCTATTGTGAATTTGGAAATAGGTCCTTTATAAAGTAGGTATCTAATTTATTATTAAACATTGGTAGCTATATAAAGACGCTAGATGAAACTTTGCGACTCCTTGTACACAGTCACAAAAAAATAATAAAAGTTTTCCTGAGGCACAAAGAAAAAACTAAATAAATCGTTGTAAAACTACATTGGTATTGTTCTCATGTCATACTAATAATTTAAAATTTAAATTTTCATACATTTTACTTAGGAACATATATAAAATCGTATTTATATGTAGCTATTATTTAATTATATTTATTATTTTTACTATATATTTTTAGATTCTGAGCGAAACATGTATTGGATTTTTATTATTTGTTAACTGCTTTTTTAACCGAAGTCTTGTTTCGATTTTTAAGTGTATTATTTTTTTTGAAATTATTTAGTTGAAAATATTTGCTGAGACATAAAAATTGGACAGAATATTAATATTTGCATTTTACATTCGTGGTAAAATTTTTAAAATATTTGAGCTATTTATACACATTTTAATTGGGTTAGTCGATTTTTTTTACGTAATTTTATTCGGTAGGCACTTGTGGATGAAATTGTTAGACCAAACAGAAAATTTATCATCATGTTTATTATAAGTCGTACTTTAAGGGCAAAAACAAAAATTAAGTGTAAAGTAAAATTTCTTTTTATAAGAATTTCAGTATCAAAGTTTAACAAAAATCATAATGAAATTCATAATTAAATTTCACATTAAACAGAATCGTTTTTTTGGTAACAATGATTATTAGATGCTTACCGATATACATTAATATCCCCTATGTATCCTACATTTTCTAATTTTTACCTACAAAAATTGTCTACACATCGTATGAAGAATTTTGTCTGTCTTTTTTCAATTTAAATTACAATAAAAAGTACCAAGTGCTTTTTAATTGTGGTCAATATTTTAAAAAAAAAAAAATTCCAGTGTAACCATTTGTTAATATTAAATGCTCAAACCAGTGCTACAGATCTGATTAGCAAATGTTACACGTTAAGAATTATTATGAGCTGTATGATTTTTCGTTTCAAATCTCATAACAATATTCGCACTTGATAAGATGACACCACCGAAAAATATTTAATGATATAATACTTGGGATTTTGCTTTTAGCCACGATAGAATGTAGACGCGTGACATAATACGAAAAGGCGAGGATATAATATATTAAGAAGGTAAATTCCCAAATGTAAATGCAGGTGAGTATAGGTTTACCGAACTTTTGTTGACAAAAGTTAGACACATATACTCGTCAGCTAAACTGTTCGACGTGCCGATTTTTCTTTTTTGCACACCCGTGAACCCGAAACCGTCAAAATCGTGTAGTTTTGAGTTTGAAACGAGTCGAAAAATCTCATAATAATAATCATAATATAACTTAATGCCGAAATCGTGACTTGTTCGTCTGTGGCTCGAAAATAATATGTCAATGGAATGTAATTTATAAAAGCTTTTTTTTTCCACCTGTACGCCAGAAGTCTTATAACTAAATCAAATCATATTATATTAATAACACATTAGACCTAACCGTTGAAATTTTATTTTATAGAAATATGCGTAGAAAGAAAACGTGGTATTCAACATTACTAGAATTAAACTAGCCAAACATTATCTAATCTTTCTAATATGCCAAATCTAAATTCTATAGGCTTCATCAGATAAGGGAGGACAAATTGATAAAAAAGTTAAAAATACGATTAGATTGCTTTCAGTTGATCATCTTTTGACACATGAGTACTGTAATGTTATACGAGCGTATTATATTAGATTATGAACGTTATAACAATATTATGTTCGAAAACTTCCATACAAAATAAATAATATTATTCTGTATGGGTGTATTTTCGGCGGACAATCTTACATTTTGAAGACATGTGATAGTATTCATATTAGGTATATAAAATAATACAAGCAAGACAATTTGTATACGATGATTTTACATTTTATTAGAATCGGATCGCGTCACGTATTATAGGTCAAATGTTTCTAATATTATTAACTCGATCAAATTTATTATACAATCAATCCCTTTCTAATTTTCGACAAAATTGTCCAATTAAATGTAAAAAAAAAATCCCCTAAATTACTATAATTAAATTGTTACGATTGAAAACAAAATCAAATTTAGCATAAGTTTCTTCGAGAAATCTATGGACCGTGATAAACCCAACATCCTTTGAATTTCACAAAGTCGTAAATAATCCTCAACCGTCGGTGAGCAGGATTGAAGTTGATTAAAGTTTCATTTCCGCCTCACTTTAGGTATTATAATCATAAAAACCGCACACGTGGTGTTTACTACATCCGTTATCAATTATGGTTTTTTCAATTTAATCCGCGGGCCCATCATAAGTCATCCGGGGCATTCGGGGCAGAGTCGTTCGAAACTTTGGCGATGGGTCTGGTAGTTGTCGTAGCAGTCGACATTGTTCGCGCGACCGCCAGGTGATCATGCACACGCACGTACAACTTTGCGAGAGGAATTATACTGCCGCGCCGGCGGGACACGCCCACAGATTTCCTAGAGCTGCCGAACGATAACTTCGTCTGGTCGGGGGGGGGGGTAAAGGGGTCAGGGGAGGTGGAACGGAAGTCGTAGGAACACACTGTACACCGAATGGGCGGACTTTGACCGACAACGGCGAGCACACTATTATTTCCCTTCGTGTCCACCCCTTCTACCATTCCCCATACCCACAGCCGACGATGTCGACTAGTCTAACTCTCCGCCACCGTCGTCGGCAGTTCGGCTCGGTGTGGTGGCGTGAAAGCGCAATGCGAAAAAAAAAAAGAGGAGCTCATAAAAAATGAAAAAAAAAAAAAACTCCACCGTGCGCGATAACTTGCCGCCGCTCGAACACAATGTCCGTCCGCCGAGCGCGAACCCTCACCTCCATCCCTCGTTTTTTCCCCTCTCTATTTCTTTTATTATTTAATCGTTTGCCGTCGCTGTTTTTGTAGTTCGTATTTTTTTTTTTTATATATTATTATTATTATTATACAGTAGGTACTACGTGCGCAACGAAATCTATTGTTTTTGGCTAACTCGCGGAGTTCTATTATTATTATTATGATTATTCTGGCACACACGAATATAATATTCTTCTTTGTTTTTTTTCGGTTTTTTTTTCACTGTTTATACAAAACCGAAATATTACATGTCACGCGATAAAAACGAATATCAATTTAATCAACTAACTATACTACGGACTACTACGGACAATGGAAATACCGCAGTAGTAAAGTTAATATACGAAAAGTGTTGTATTTATAGATAAAAAAAAAACATAAATATAAATTGTAGTTACATAATGTTATTAACTCGTTGTTTCAATATCATTAAAAGAAATCCTCTACTTGTCGTTGAATGAAAATTACATATATAAGCTGAAATTTAACAAAAAAAAAAAAAAAAAAAACACTGATACTGGGAAGTTGGGAAGGTAGAATACATAAAGTTATTTAATTTATACATGTAAGAAACGATAAACCATAAATAACGAAGAATGAGTCTGAACGATGTTCGTTTATACATGATTCGAAAAGTCGTAATAAAATTAATTTTTAGTACTATGCATTACCCCAATTTTTGTTACTATTAACGATTAAGTACAATTTATAATTATCATCACGTTATCCATATAGAATCATATACTTACCAAATGAAAAGAACGTAAAAAAATCTAGCAAACATAAAATAGATTAACTTAATTTGCTCTAAACATTTTTAAGTGTTCGACTTTACCCAAAATTGGTGATTTTTAATTAAAAATTCCAAGATTCCCTTACTTTCTTGGATTTATTGGTCAGTCCGTGGTAATAAGAAATATCCTTGGGTTGATTATCCATATATCTCGTGATATCTTACGGACGAATAATTAACTAAAAATGATAAGTCAAGATCGGCGACTCACCGGCTGCCGTTTACAAGTATTGTACCAGTTATGAATAGTTGGGACATGTCAATAGGTTTTCGCACCCACGGAGGAATTATTATTATTTATACGCGAAGTGCTGTACTTTTTGTTTATATAATATCTGACTAGGTCCATGACGTTGGACATTTCTGTATCATAAAAGTAAACTATGTTTTAATTAAATTTTGACTTCATATGAACTAGCTAGGATTATTAGCTTTGAGGAACAGTCATTGGTGTAGAATTCAAACAAACGTTTTTTTCTATTTAATAACATACAAAAAGAAAAAATTAATCATAACAAATCCATATACGTATATCAATCGATATACGTTCGGAGTATAAAAAGCCAGTAAATTACGGGTCGCCACGCTCCTCGAACTCATGAATAGGTCATTCTTGTTAAGGACAAGTTAGGATGATAGAATGTTATACAGGGTAATAATTCAGTTTTGATCTTTATGTAACGATCAATAATTATTCACGTTTTCATAAATTTAAATTTAAAATTGTATTAATTTATAACGCAAAATACTTTTTCCGTCTTTGTTCGTGTCAAACTTTTAAACATTTTCATATAGCAAAAAAAGTTTTGTTCTCATAAATAAAAAATAGTACGCACTAAATTGTGATTTTAATGATTTTCATCAGAATTTCATTAAAATACCAATAAATTCTTTACCAAATGTACATTTAAAATCTGAAATTATTCTCGGTGAAAATGATTGATTGTAAAAACGAAATGTACATAAAATCAACAGTAATATTATTAATATTACAAAATATTTGTAAAAATAATGGTTTTATTATTTTTCAATTTTGTTATTTGTTGTAATTCAGTTAAAAATATTTGTAGAGACTTGGAATTTGGAACGTAAACTTATATTTGTCTTTTTTAGACTTGATAAAATTTTCAAAAAGTTCAAGCGATTTTCGAGCTATTTATAGACATTTTAATTTGCGAGTTTTATGCGTAACATTTATTTTTTTTTTGAACATACGCGTATATTGTCTATTAAAGAATGAAGGCGAAGTTAGAATTAAGCGGACTAATTATATTGCGAAACTATAGCTTTCTGAAGTTTCGATATAATGCAGATATTATATGTTATGTTAAATAACTCTATATAGTCTTTCTTAAAGCATATTTGTCGTGATCTCATGGTTATTTATACCTATTGTCATCGTAGTGTTTTCGAGTTCAAACCAGTGTGACACAATGTTTCGCATTTTTCCCCATTTTACTTAAACAAGGATAGTTGAACAAATGCATTTTGGATATACCTAGAGACTCAAGCCATCGCTTTCTTGGACTATTTTAATCGCAAAATTTTCTTCGATTTGTTATGCAAACTTCTTTACCAGAAATCTTGGTCCGATGTATTAAGTGTAAATTATTTTCTGAAAGGAAATTTTTTCTCTGTGTTAATTTAGAGAAGTAGTTTATTGATTTTCAAGCGATTTTTATAATATCTGGGGAAAAAACCGGGATAAAATGTCGGAAAAACGAAACATATACGAAATGTAGGTATAAGAAAAAAAATATTACGGCCTTTTTTATCTGTGTATAACTTTTCTCAAATTTAAAATGATAGCACTTTTTCTGAAAGGAAATCTGACTGGAAAGTTATTTTAACGAGGTGATTTTTCGATATTTCCAGGATTTTTCTCAATAAATGTGAAAAACATGGGGAAATCGGTACAATATTAAACAAATATTATTAAAGAAAATATATTATGCCTGTTTAATTATTTTACCATAATATGATACATGTATTGTTGACAAAGTGTCACTATCAACTTAACTTCGTACTATAACTTAACTTGTTTTCGTTAGCAATGGTTTATTGTGCTTACAGATATATATTAAATTACCTATAACAGTAGCTGCACCAGTCTTCATTATTCTAGGATGTCTTTTTTCTCCTGAGTTTACGAGAAAAGCCTAACCACCTGAGGTTTCTTATATAGGTACGCACATAAAACAATAAATTAATTCAACCCACGAAGCAAAAGAAGTTACAGTAACGCATAGCATAAGCTAAAGGGACCATTTATTATTGCGTAGGTATTATGTATGACACTGGTTTTGTCGAAATTTTGTTAAAATACCTTTCTCAGTCTGTTCGTTTCTGTTTATATTTACATATTACTTAATAATTCTTAATTAATTGCTGTAATTCTTGTGACGATGATAAGTTTTTAGTATTAGTTGATTATTATTATGTTATGTGTTAATAAGTTGTTGTTTAATATATATATTATTATGTGTAATTATTTGTAATCTGCAACTAAAACACCTATAACAGTAACACAGCCATCAGTAATATAAGCATTTTTTTTTTGTTGATTTTTGGTCACGTCTAGGACCTATATAGATTATTAATCCATAATATTTTGTTCAAATTTTAAGAAAATTAAATCAATAAAACGTGATGTATTTAAATCGTTTTTATGTTTAACAGATGCAAAAAAAAAAAAGTAAATTTAACAAAACAATTAAATGTTAAACACGAAATTAAAACATAAAATCAACTTAACTTGCCACCATCGCAGTCAGTATTTATATTTATTTAATATTTGTACGACTATTTTTAAATCATTGATGAAAATTCGTGTTATGATTAGCATACGCACCTATTTCATCTCGCCGTAGTAATGCGAAACTAAAACTGAATTATAAATGTTCGCGTAAATAAACGCTGTTCAAATATATTGCTCAGGGCTCATATATTCAAGAATAATTCTACGGAAATTATCGAGATAATGCGAAATTTAATAATACATTTCGCATTTTCTTTGATGATGGTTAACCGCGTGGTGATAATTGAAACTTCAGTAGTAACACAATATAATAATGTTAAAATTAACATTTATAATTTCGTAAAAGTGTTGATTGTACCGATGTTATTTTTTTGATGTCCGTATAACGACACGATTATTAATGTGTTTTGTGTGCACCTATATGTATGTGCGTATGTACACGGCAATAGAGTTAACCAAAATATGGTATGCGAGTATCAAGAAGTACCTATATATATATATATGTTTAGTATACTAAATGTTCTGTTTAAACGAATTGCATATATTATAGTGTGAAAACCAGAGAATACCAATTTATGATATGGGTTTATTTTAGTCTTTAGTGTGTGAGCGAAATCCTGTTTATAACTATTTTCACGATTGGATTGAAGTGGACTATATTTTATTAGACTTAAAATAATATCCTGAGGAACCTCTGCACTGGCATTCGTTTTTCTATTTGTCTTCCGCCGTAATACAGAAACAAAGGCATTTCGCATTTCCGACTCTGGTTGCATACGAATCGCGTCCCAAAATGAAAAATATCCGATATGCGACTAAACGAATTACGTCCCGGATTTTTCTGAACGACTACACAAATTGCGTAAGTTTTATGTGCAAATTAAATTTGTATAAATATTGTATTTTATTTTGCGGTTATATTATTATAACGTTATACTCGTATAATTCGTATAGTATTCGTTAGCGTAAACGTCGGCGTGATTTTAAATCTTATGAATAAAATAACACCAGTGATTTG